TGTTAAATGTGTTTGACCTTTAAGCTTTTAGACAGCAGAGCATGAGAATGCATTATGTGCCTGGGATCAATATGACCACATGGGATTTTTAGTGCCATGCAAAGAACTCCTAGATCACTGTCAAGATTAACCTGCTAGAAAAGCATGGAACATCATGATCTTCACTGGACCTGAATGCTGTTTTCTTTTGTAAAAGTGCAACAAAAAATATCTTAAAATAGAAATAGAATGCAATATATAATGTCATATATTTTTACTTTTATTTATGAATATTAAAAACACAAACTATATTAGTGTTTACATTGTTATTGCATTTCACAAACTTTTAAAATGTAAAGATGCTAATTTTTTACATAGAAAGTGGTGGTTCCTCATACTACTTCAGAATGCATTACTTTTTATACTGCCAAGCATGCATGTGATGTCTGTGCACCCCTAACTCAGTAACATGATCAGAAAATCCCACCTGGAAGAGAAGCTAACTATGTTGTAGTATTTTGAGACTATATAAGGAGTTTGCTTTTCCATTTTACAGTCTTTATATGATGTTCGGTAATGTTTTGTTTTTGCTTGGTTTGGTTATTTGTTCTTACATATTTCAAATGTTAAATCTGGCTCTGACATATTCCACTTTTACAGACATTGTGCTCCTTTATGATGTACGGTAGTCTTAATGAGTTATAGCTGATCTTTAAGAAATTATTTCTGTATGATTTCTTTGTTCCTTAATGACTTATTAATTATTCATTATTTCCTTTCCAACTTTTATTGCTAATCGAAGAATGACTGGAAGTAGTTTAGAGCATTTTGGTCAAGTCTCCTATATAAGTACAGGCCATTTACCATGACGCTTCACCTTTTCCTTGCTTAAATGAAAATAATTATTCCAACGTTTTATTTGTTATGTTATATTAAACAGATGTTCTGTGTCTTTAGTTGATTGTATAGGATATATGCCACCAATGGTATTTAAAAAGTTTCAAAGGTATTTATGAGATTTACACATCCCCAAACTATTTGTTTTTCTTAATGTTTCTGCCTTTGAGAGTCATGTCAGGTATTTTATAATACTTGACTCTTTTCCTTAGTTGTAAAAGAATTCCTTCAAGATAGTTTGGTTTATTTTCCACAAAGATAGAGTAGCACAGTTTTGATATTTTGGCAAGTAACTGTTATATATTGAATAAAAAGCATGTGATCGAAAATACTTTTCTTTTTGTAGAATTGTTTTTAAATACAAAAAAAAATGTAAAATATTTTTCTCCTAGAGCTGGTTGTGTGAACCTGCTGACTGGAAACCATTGAATGATAGAGTTGAGTCATAAAAAGCTTCTGAATATTGCTTTTACTCAGAAAAAGCTTATATGAAAAAAAAGAAGAAAAAGCTTAGATGGATTAATAGATTAGTCACTGAAATTTAAACCAGTTATTTGCCACCACTGCCTATTAAAGTTTGCCCTTCTCCACATTTATGCTACGTTCACACTGCGTGTTCTTTGGGCAGCAAAAAGCACATGTTGCTTAATTTTTGAAGCTTGTACACATTAAGGTCAAACTCACCTCAAGAGCATCCTTGATGTTCCTGAAGCGCATCCAGTAAAGTGTGTCCAGATGTTTCTGATGCTTCTGCTGCTTCTGTGTGCAATGGCAGAGAGCGGCTTTGCTATATTTGTTGTGATAAGCTGGTAAAAAGTAGTTTCAATATATTTTTAAGCGAGAAAATCCACCTCAAAACATTGTCTGTGCAGTCAGTTAATCAAGATTACAATCCTGCCTTTAAATGTTATTTTGTTGTTGAAGCCGCTCAGATCCCCACTTACCGGCGGTGCGCTGTCACTGGGAATTCCCAGCAGCAGCTGGAGGATTTCCACTGCAGTTCTTGGCGGCTGAAAGTAGATGTTAATGTTTTTCAGGTATGTGGAACAAACTGCCGGCACTAGAATAATAAAAGCATGCAGTAACATATTTTGCCGGCAGGTTTCAACATTTTAAGTTAATTTAGGCATAATTTAGGTGTGCTGTGTCTGTCTCCCTGCCAGCTCCAAGATTAGCTTCTTTAATTGGTTGATGTGGGGCGTCAATGTTCATTTTTTTCAACTCTAGCAGCTGCTGTTTGTGCAGCACGTCATGCGCCTCAGATGCTCAGAAGCTCATGAGGGGCTGCATCTGTTCATCCCATGCGTCAAGATGAACTGCTCTTGCTGCACGAAATGCTGCAGGACCTTTTGGGAAATCTCAATGTGTGTCAATCATTGACTTTGCATATAAAGCAGCTGCTTCTGCTGCTCTCATTGTGTGCGGTTTGAACGTAGAATTAGGAGCAACCTTGTTGCTGTCCCTGATTTGTGCTAGAGACATGGACATAGTAATAAACTAAAACGTTTTTATGAAACACATTTTAATTCAACAAAATCTACTGCATAGCAGGCTTTGGTATTACGGAAACTGACATCATAATTCCCTTTTCTTCTGACTTTTTTTAACAGCTCAGTACACTATACACTATCTGAAGTGATAACAATTTAAACAGGATTCAAGCACAATTGTGTAAACTTTGTATAGTTGTAGAAAAAATATAAATTATATATAAATAAGTATATGGTTTATTACATTTCCATTTGGGGTTAATAAAGTATTTTTGAATTGAATTGATAGATATTACAATTAAAGATATTACAATTAACTTTAAAACAAACAACAATAGCAAGTTATTAGTGAAATAAAAGTTGGTCAAAAGTGTCTTTAAACTAAAATGTGGCTCAAGTTCCTACATAGAAATTTATATAAAAAAAAAAACTGGACAGCAATAAAAATCTAGATACAGTACATCATACTGTATCCTCTGCAAAAGTGCAAAAAACGGAGACAACTTCTTTAATGTTTTTCCAACTATTGATGAATGCTTGAAAACAAAATCTGCCTTTCTGTTTGGTGGCCTGTTTTTATACATATATGTCCTCTTGTCCTTGAATGTCTTATTATGTTTGTTGCCACTGGGTTGTTGCCTTTGTTTAGGGGTTCTTATGCATTTTTAGACACAAAGCTAATAGCCTTCCTAATTCTGTCTGTCCTTCTCAGTTTAAACAGATATCTCTCCTCACAGCAGCTGAGTAGAGCTAAAAATCCAGGATTGAAAGGGCTATAGACATCATAGTTTTTTTTTTTCTATTGCATAGTCATTTGAAAAAAAAAAAGAGACCAATTAATAATAAACAATGATGATTTATATTGATTTGTTAGCCCATGTTGCCAGGTCCATGACCAGTGCTGGTTTTAGCCTTTTGCAATAGTGATTACTAATTTAGCACTGGCATACCTGAGATCCTGAAGATAAAAGAATAAATAGATTGGTCAGTCAAATTGTCCATCTTGTTTATGTTTATATGTATTTGTTTTTGTTAATGGGAATACTGAAGTTACGACTTTGCATTTTGTAATTTAGCAAAATATCAACATATTTCTGCCGAAAAAGTCAATCAGCTGCAGTTGATCCAGAAAGCTGCAGCCCATATCCTCACTAAAACTAAGTGAAGAACACCAATGCAGTTCTAAAATGGTTACACTGGCTCCGCTTATCTCAGAAAAATACAATTTACATTACTGAATTGTTTAGCTCCTAAATATATTACGGACTTTATTTAAATGTATCCACCCATACCTCAGGGGGCTTCTGACTCTACTTTGCATTCACAGAACTAATCATGGAGAAGCAGCTTTTAGTTATTATCCTCCACTCATCCAGAATAAATTCACCAAAAACTGTAAAAGCACTCAGTTGCTTTAAGTTGTGATTGAAAATATATTTTAGTGATATTAGTTAAGTTTATAACCAAGCTAAGTGCATGCTTATTGGCAACAGCACATGAAAAATTGTTATTTTGAAATGTATTGATAAAATGTATTTTCAGTCATTGTGTCTGGCTAGTCGAGGTGG